GCACTCATAGTGCTGTCCTCTGAAGATGCCGGCCACAGAGACTGGCGAAACATTAGGAAGAACAACCTTCAGAACACGGCCAAAGAGCCCAAAAAACCCACAACAACCAAAAAGCATTTTTTTATTCTTTTAATTTTTTTTGCCAAGAATGCTCTTTCTCTACCAATACTTTGCATTATACCTTACATTCTTCCACTTCTCAACCCTCTTCTAATGTAACTATAATATCTTACCTCAAGCCCTTTCTTGCTAGATTTCCGCTTGAACGATGTCCTCTTTTTCTTCTTACTTGATTTTAGTGGGTTCTGGGGTTGGAGAGACAGGAGAAGAGAATTAAATTAAATGATTTAGAAACCAGATTTAAAATGAGAGGAAAAAAAACTTGAGAGAAAATGTACTTGGGGATGCCGGACACGTAGAATCCAGGTGGGAGGGATAACAACAGCTGCATGTGCCCCTAGCGAACAGGGCTCCTCAATGTGCTGCAGCATGAAGCACGAAACTTTACTGTGATACTGAATGGGGAAAAAAAAGAACAGAATTACTCAGTTTTCACAGTACAGTCAAGGACAACCACAGACTTTCCTAAGCCTTTTTTAAAAGGTTGACCTGGTCTATATATGTGAGTGTGGTGATAGACCACTAAGTTGTTAGAATGAACAATGCCACTTAAAATGCTATGTTTTAGAAAAAGGTTTTTTTAACGGATTCGAACTCTCAGAATTCCTTCAGCCACTGGACATGCTGCTTACAGATCCTTGGAGGTAACTCACAGTAAAATTCTACATTTTAAAGCATGCTAAATTTAAGAAAAAGGATAAGCAGGAGCAGGCTGAGCTAGGCAAGTAAAACATTTTTGCCTGCTCTGGTATCTTTCAGCATAAGGAAGCATTAAAAATAGCCTCCACCACTTATGGTCCCTTATGCATTCAGAGTAATTTCCAAAGAAATTGCCTCAACATGCTAGCAAAAAAACAGGAAGAAGCAAAATATTGTAGCGCCTTAGAGACCGACAGATTTATTTCACTGTGGCACAGCCATGGACACAGGTACAGCACTCCAGTCTGGAAATATATTAATCGCTGACCCAGAATGCCATATCCTCAGTTCCTAGACATACTCAGAAACCTCTCCTCTTCCTGAAATACATCAATGATATCTTCATCATCTGGACCTCCAGTAAGGAACTGCTGGAGAAATTGCATCAGGACTTCAATAACTTTCACTTTTCCATCAAATGAAGCCTAGATCACCACACACAACAAGTATACAGTACTTCCTAGAGCCACACTGCAACTTCACAAGGAGATTATCAGCAGTACATTAGCATTGGAAACCCACTAACCACTACAAATACTTACATGCACCCAGAACACCCCCCCCCCCAATCTGTTGTCTATGGTCAAGCTCTCCGATATAATCAGATTCGCTTAGAACCATAGGGCAGAGACTCACCATGGAGGTGGAATAAGCATCTCTTAAATAACAACATCCATTTAACATGGTGAAAAAGCCAGACTGGTACCCAGGGACAGCCTGCTACAAGGCAGACCCAACAGAGAGAATAACAGAGCACCACTACTAATATTATTATTAGCTTTATTTATTTAGAAATCTACAACTTTCAGCTGAGACTATGGAGATGTATCAATAATGACCCATAGAGTTCCCTCTACTGGCCCACACTAATACACACACACACACACACACAACCAACCTTAAACAACTACTGACATAGAACAGGCAACACAAAAAGAAGGTGGGAGGCAGGAACAAGATTCTGTCACAAACCTAGATAACAGATGTGCTCCCATTATTTACACTGGTTGCATCATCAAGTTTCCTAACAGTTGTCAGCCACAACATTTTTTCATCCTCTAATATGATTTATACCATTTTCTGCCACTAATGCCCCTTTGCATTCTACACAGAATAAACAGGTGCAAAAGAGTGGATGGATAAAAATCTGACATTAGGAATGTGAAGAGAGCAATCAGTTTCAGATCACACCAGCCTCCCAAGACACCCTATTATGGATCTCAAAATAGTTATTGTAGAAAAATGGAATTACTAAGAGACGCAAAAGACAGACAATGAAAACTGGCTCCATAAGCCAGCTCCAGTGCACCTCTAAGGATTTAAATAGGGATCAGGCTTGTTAGCACACTACATATATATTAAAACCCAAGCTTTCTGTAATACCCTTATGGGTATAAAATAATTGTCTCCCTTGACAGACTTTGACCTTTTCCCCAGGAACAACTCCTTCCACTTCTGCAACAGCCAAATCCACCCAATTTACAATTTGTTCCTCTGGCTAAGGCCTGCAAGAAATTAACGGCTTTATAATCCAATTCTTATGTTAACAAAGCACTGTCATTTAGTGTAATTTTCTGTATCCTTCCCAGGTCATTACTCTCACTACCACAGGAATATACATAAATACAGAGGCGAATTTAGTCTGAAGAAGGGGACTTTGATTTACGAAAGCTGACACTGAAACAAATTTGTTAGTTGTAAAGTAGTAAGGTACCACAATCTCTCTCTCTCTCTCTCTCATTCCCTCCAATGTGTAAATAAATTCAGAGGCTTCACTCTTGCACAATACGATCAGCAAGAAACACTTCTGGGAATATACGCTGGAGGGAAAACGAACAGTGCAGGATGGCTGTGTTTGAGACGCAGCCTCAGTTCTCTATTGCCTGCATGGTGGACGAACCTGAAGAAATAGGTATCTCCCAGCCTTAATTATTCATTTGCAAAATGAGAATTTGGGCCTATTTGTCAGAATGAATTACATGACATTAAAAAGCATTTCTGCACACAGAAAAATCACGATACAAATGCTACTAATAAGGAATAGCAGTGGCAAAAAAACTTCATTCAGTAACTCTCCTATACGCCAGGGAAGGCAGGCAGAAGGGCACATCTAGAAAAGAGGAGGGCAACTTATTAAACAGGCACATGTTGCACTCACTGCTTGCTTACACCAGGAACAGCTGATGGCTACAATCTCCTTGCTGTGAAAGGCAAATTTCTGTTGGAAACCCTGCAGAGAAAGAGGAAGAAAAAGGAAACTATGTTACCTCTTGTGTTTTTTTTTTCCATTGCACTGAGAAGGTCTATAGAATGAAGGCTATAATTCTATGGTCCCAGATACAGGACTGATCAAAAATGCCCCTCAGAGGTCTGAGGTCATTAGGGCAGATCTCCCCTCCCTCCTGTCTGCTTTGCTCCCAACCATTTGTGGAGGTTTCCATAGTAGGTCCTTCCATAAGGATAGGAACACAATCTCACAGAATGTAGGAAAGAAGCATGTTATAGATGTGGCAGGGAGGAAGAGGATATGGATCCACAGCCTCCCACAATAGTGCAAACAGCTGGTGGTAGATATGGTCTAAATGAATTCTCTCCTACTGCTAGTGGCTTGCCAGTAGATGGACAGGATAGAAATTAAACAAACAAACAAACAAACAAACAAATGTGTGAAAAACCTGATCCAGTGCCATAGCTAAAGATTTCTTGTTTGTTTGTTTGTTTGTTTTTGTTTGTTTGTTTGTTTGTTTGTTTATATCCTGCCCTACTAGTAGACAAGCTACTACTCTGGGCGTCTAACAGAAAAACACAAAGTCATAAACAACAACAACACAACAATAAAGCAAGAGTGAAAATTAATAGCAGGCTGGTTTAAGGGCAAACTATTGAAAGGCTTGGGAAAACAACTGGGGCTTCGGTTGGCTCCTAAAACCCAGGAGGGATGGGGTCAGGTGTACCTCTGGTGGGAGGGAGTTCCAAAATGAAGTGGCCACTGTACTTCCACCCTCTGTACTTCCACCCTACTGGCAAGAGTATGGCAGGGTCTTCTGGCTAGACTAAAGCCTTTGAGCTCCTCATCACCTTGGACTCATTAGCAACAAGAAAAGTGTCTTGCGGCATCCAGTAATACATTTCCCAGAGGAACATACTTTCTTGCTGGCACAATGAAGAGGTGGGTCTTTATCTCAACCAAAGCTGTGGCTGTCTCCCCTCTCCACCCCCCAATGAAATAATGAGGGAACTTTTCTGAAAGTGATCCAGGCCTTGAAATAAGATAAAAATAGAAAATAAAGAAGATAAAAATGTTGTGCACATTGCTTTAGTCCTCAGGATGCCAAAAAGTTTTTCTTCTTTATTTTCTTCTTCTTTTGTTTTTGCCTGATGGGCAAATACAGACTAACACAGCTACCTCTTCTAAACAAACACACATGGAAACAAACATTTCCTAGAAGCTATTTGTTATCTAACACATTGCTATCATATCTCACTCACCCCCAGTAATTTTTTTTGTCATTTTAAACTTGTTCCATTATTTTTTGCCACTTGTTTCAGGGTTGAGAACCCTCAGGGTAGAGAAGATAATTGGCTCCTATGAGCCCAGAGTTGGATCTGAGAACATGGCCACCCGAGCGCCGTCCATCTTCAGGGAAAAGGGGATCCAGAATGAGGTGAAAGAGATGGAAACTGAAGAAAGAAGTGAGAGACAGGAGACCCCCTAGAAAAGGAAGGGAGGTAGAAAAAGGAGGGAGGGAGAGGGAGAGAGAGAAGCAGGGAGGCAGCCAGAAACCAGTGCTGAAGGAAAAAGATCCTGCCCCCGGGAAGGGAATGGCCCTGGGTTGAGAAACCATGGATCCACAAATGGGAGAGATTGATGGTGCTATGGGAAGAGGCTGAAAAGAGGCGGAGAGAGAAGGTACCCAAAAAGCCGTCACACTGGGGAGAGAAAGAGACTTGAGAGTGAGGAAGAAAGATCAGAGAAGAGAGGGCTAACATAGAGAGAGGGAAGATGGAAAAGAGGATATGGATAAACAGACCTGGGTCAGCAAGAGATATAGCCCATGAACCTGGCAAATTCCATACCCAGGAGATGAGCCCACACACACCTGAGACCCTCAAGAAAAACAATTGTCTTTGTTGCCATTATCACCAAAACTGGACTTAGAGGCAGAAGGTGTAGGAAGATTTTGGAACCACACCCCCGAGAACCCCTTTCTAGTTCACAAAAATCCCGTTATTACCCCATTGTGTTCTGTTAAACGTTAAATATTAAAGTTGACATACATCGTTTTCCTGAGGTTCCTGAAATAAATGTTGGATGTTTGAACGCAGCGCAAGAGTCTCCTGTGTCTAATCTGCCACTGTCACAAGGGATGAATTATCCCATATCAAAGGAAGAGCCTTCAAAGCTTTCAAAAAAGCCCCTTGAAACATTCTGCTCAAAATATCTTACAATTCCCTTTAAAAGTAACTAGAAAATGTGATTTGTTAACCCACACCACTTTTTTGAGAGTAATAATGGTTTTAAGGGCTACTGGATATTTTCTCTTTCTTGTTTTGCAGCACCTTGAGAAGATGATGTGGCTTATTCTGAGCACAGTTTTCTTCAATATATCTGCCAACAGTTTAGCACTTTAGAATCCTAAAATAACACTGAAGTTCTTGATCGCCTGAGTCGTTCCACACCCTAGAGCAGTCATTTTCAGCTGTTTTTTTTTTACCAAGGCCATAAACACAATATGAAAGAAATATAAGATGAACCAGGATTGTGTAAATCACATACTAAATATTATAAGGTGGTGTTTGAAGAATTGTTTCCAGTCTGTGGCCCCCTTCAAATGTGCCAAGGCCCCCAAGGCAGCCATATTTGACAACGGCTGTCCCTAGCCCATTGAGTCTTCAAGCAGAGAATGTCATTTTGTAATAAAAAAAACCTATAGCAGAATACCCTCTCACCTTTCCACACTGTCGGCATTTCCCTTCCTGACGTCTCCGATGTACCCAATGATGCCGCACAACAGTAGGCTAGAGAGAAATATATGAAAATGTTTAGGAAAAGAAAAAGGAAGAAGAGGAAGGAAGACCATGTGCATACTTCCAGGATGTAGCCTCCAGCTCAGCCCTTGTTTTCAGCTTTAGGACCCCACATATGGAAGGTAGTCTCAAAGACAAATATGATTCAAAAGAAAAAGAGAGGCTCAAACCCAGAGCCACCATTCAATAAAAAAAGGTTTGCCTTTTAAGACCTGACTCAATTTCATTTAAAACACTACCTATGACAGGACTGGACAAGAAGTGGTTTCCTAGAGACATTTCTGTGGCCCTTCAATGCCACCCAGAGCAACCAAGTTTGGAAAAAAAAAAAAAAGAGGATTGCTTTTTTTTAATTGGCAGAAATTGGAATATGTCAGTTTTCACTCTAGAGGCACTGAAAGGACTCCTTAGCCCTCCCCCCTCACCCCCAGCACTCAATAATGAAAACAAAATAAGTTCAAAAATCCCTGTATGGATACTTCCTGTTTACTGGTTTTTAAAGAAATTATTTGGTCACTTTCAAAGTTAGTGCAATTTAAACGCTAAGTCATGTGAACAAAAGTAGGATCTTTGGAAAATTATGCCAAAAATTATGCAAGACTTCTCTTGCAAAGAGTATTTGATAGAAAAGAGAAGCAAGACTCTTTCAGTACTACACACCCTGCCTCTCTTTGGCTTTCTCCAAAAAGAGAGAAATGGCCTTTTTGACCGAAAAAGGCCATTTAACCAGCTTTTTCTTCCTCTCCCAGAAATTAATTAAGACCTTTTATTTCAGCTGCAATTTTGATGCATCTCTTCTGAAGTGTTTTAAATATCAGTAAAATAATTCAGCTGCTGATGACTGTGCATTTCTCCTAATGCTTTGTCCCTGTTAAAATCTGCCAAGTTTGAGGGGGTAGCAGATACCATTCCCAATTTGAATGGGGTTGGTGATATATCTGCAGGTTAAGAATTAGTTGGATTACTTATGAGGCATGTTCTGAGAAAGTCCCCAGGTCTACACCATTATCAATACAGTAAATAATAATCATGTGTTGATTAAATCAATTCTGACTCATGGTGACCCTTTTCAGGATTTTCCAGGTAGAGAATACTTAGAAGTGGTTTACGATCACCTTCTTCTGGAGGTGCCCTGAGACTGTGAAGCTTGCCTGTGGCCATACAGGCTGGCTATACTCATAGGAGGCATGGTGGGGGTTTGAACTGCCAAGCTCTGGCTCCCTAGCACGAGCCCCAAATCACGGAGCTACCAAGTCAGCTCCATCAGTATTAAAGACCCTGGACATTTTTTTACATCATTATTAAAGGCTGATGCAAAAACTGTCAGGGCTCATATCTCTTTTTCAAAGCTTTATGCATAGATTGGTATAAAACCCAACACTATATAGGGTATGTTTTCCAAATATGTATTCTCATTGCTCCACCCTCTACACTTTCAGGACCATGGAGAGTTCTTTCTCGACGTAACATCCTCTCAGCCAGAATGCAGTCAGTCCTATAGCTCTCCAAGAAAAGATATATTAAGCATTCATTATGGCTTAAAACAAAATCCACAAAACATGGTTAGTAAACAAAGATACTACCTGTGTTGTTAATGCATGCATATAAGTTAAGACAAAACATAGCTTTTGAGAACCAGATGCTCAGAATGAATGCAAAACACACTATCTGGGAACACAAGCCGTGCTTGGAAAAGTTCAGCCATTTCCAACACTTTGTTGTGGCAAATTCAAGCTAACTGTACTTTTCTCACTGTTTGCTGACCAAAGGAGTCTAATCTTTTCTGTATTGTATGAACAATCTTTCAATAACAACTACTGGGTAGCATGAAGTTTCACACAGTTGTTGCCTCAACATGCAGATCTCAAAAAAATAAGGAGGGGGTACATTTTAGTGTCTCAGATTTATGCAGCTGCAGAAACTGAAATGGGGCTATGGAAGGAAATTCAAATCAAGTATTTCATGTCCACAAGCAGCAAGGGGGGGGACCCAGACAACTCCCTTATGACAAAAGCATAGCTCTTACTTCTCGGACATTCCTTGATCCAGATTCTCTGAAGGAAGGCTTGCACCGGAAATTTATCTGTGGAAGGAACATGAGAGGGGCTAAAATGATTTCTTGGAACCATTGCCGCCCTATGAGAAACATTTTATTCTGGCCTGGGATACCAACTTTGGTTTTCCATCTCAGGAGCCTCAATGTATAACTGAAGAATTAAATGTAGAGAACTATCATGTAATGAATCAGCTGAGGACTACTTGGCCTAACCGGCAGAAACTCTCCTAGGTCTCACACAGACGTTATTTCCCAGCCATCCATCTAAGGCACTCAACTGGAGATACCAAGGATTGAACCCAAAGGCTTCTAACTACAAAACTATGAGCTCTGGCCTCTCTATACACATCCCCCCTTCCACTTAGAACCAGCATGCAGTAAGATCACAAAGAGGAAGATCAATTTTTAGGAATTTCCTCCACCTGACAGAAACATTCTTATAGCCTTAATCATAACAGAAATGTTTCTTTGCTTTATAAATGTCAGTTTCATTTATCCAAGTACACAACAGGAAGTTAATTAGGCTTCACTCACTTTCTCCAGCTGTTCTATGCAGGGTGTGTGAACAACAATCTTACAGGCTGCACACTTCCGCTTGGAGAGAGTTTTTTGCTGCAAACGAGAAAAATACGAATTAGACATTATCAACTGGTGTCCGGGAAGTCTACAAGTTTTATTTCTTAATGGAATGGCTGTATATAGAAACAACAACATGAAACAAATGCAGGTACAGGTAGGAATGCTGGGGGGGGGAGGGGAATGCCTCTTCAACCTGCATTTTTCTATGTGTGCTGCAAAAACAAGAGAGACAATTTGGCTTTGTGGAGCATTCTGCTTGTTTCACTGCAAGGTCAAAAACAAGCAAATGGATTCCAAGAATTGACAGACATAGGCTGAGATCCTGTTAGCTATACCTGCCAGTGAAACACCAGTGGTATAACTTTCGGCAGCAAATCAGCATAGGTTAAGCTGGCATAGATGTTAGAATGATTTACTCTATTTAGGAAAGTGAAAAGTTGTAAAATGTATTGTCATTTTCAAAAGAGAGAAAAAAAAGGTTTGAAACAGTAAGTCAAGGTTGAAGCTAACCCCATCCCCAAATATACAGTAAAAGAAATTCAGACCACAGGTCAGCTCTCCCTTTTCATTAAAAACATGAGCACAGTAATCCATTTTTCTTGCACTTTAACTTTTAACCCATGTTAATGCAAGTAAACACAAGAGGCACACTCTAAACTTTGAGTCTCTAAAAAGCTTCACACCTCTGAATGAGTTCTAGGATACGTGGATTAAAGTGAGTTTTTATTCCTCCACTAGATGGTGGTGCAACTTCACAAACTGTTTTGAATTTACAAGACAGGGACTTACCAGCATCTTTGCTACACAGTTCTGCTCTCCAACATAGCAGGAGTCCCCAGAGACATTGGTTTCATACCAGATGTGCTCCCCATAAACTGCAGTCTCCTTAAAGGAAAAACAGAACCAACACTGGCATTCTGAAGAACAACTTGGGAGCCACTCTTGTTTTAGGGTTTGGCTGTATTTCCACCCACAGATATCAGCTCTAACTTAACTCACCAACCTAGTTCAAAAGATTGGTTGGAGAGAGGCATTAATATGTTAGTCCTGTTGCTTCCTATAGTAAGATTCAACTGTCATACCATGATATAGACACATAATCATCAGATGATGTGATATCACCATGTTGCAAATATTCCACCCTGAAGAGCCACAGATGACATGGAGTAGGGCAAGGAAACTCCAAATGTGAGACTCAAGGAGCCTATCATTCATGGCATAAAATATTTTCCCCATGTCCGCCTTAAAGAATTTGGCTAACCCTTTAAAAATGCAAGGCAATGGTACCAGCAAACAGGAGTAACAGCACGTATACATATTTCCAAGTGTAAATGTGAGGGGAACTTGCCTAGGAACTTTTCCACTTGCAGAGAGCAAACTGTTTTCAAGCTGTGGGTCATGTTTATACATCATATAACAACTGTGAAATTAATTTAAATCAGTGGTTCTTAACCTTTGTTACTCGGATGCTTTTGAACTGCAACTCCCAGAAACCCCAGTCAGGACAGCTGGTGGTGAAGGCTTCTGGGAGTTGCAGTCCAAAACTCCTGAGTAACCCAAGGTTAAGAACCAGTGATTTAAATAATGCCTTCCCATTCTCCATGTAACACCGTAGAGCATAACCAGGGCAGGAATCAGTGTTCAGGGAAAATTCAGATGTTTTTTTTCTTTCTGTAAATTAGAATACTCATGAATCACCTTTCTACAAAAAAAGAGGCTTCTAAAATAGTACCCATTCCAGAGAAATGGATTCCTTTTCTTTTCTCCACAGAGCTCAAGGGGATGTACAGATGGTTCCACCCAGTCTTCCGTGCCAGCAGTGATTAGATCAGATGGCTCAATTTCATGATACAACTTCAGACTATGCCTTGGTCACACCGATTCCAGAGGGCCAGTTGCATATAAGCCTACACTGGACATGAACTATGTATTTGGGCCAATAGTAGAGAAAAATTTCTTTCACAAGAAGCTGAGGTAGTTGTCACTTACACTCCAGTCAACAGTACTGCGAATTTCCCTCTCAGAGTCACTTCTCAAGGCTAATGTGGGGAGTGGTTGGGCTATCATGTGCTGGAGACCAGATTTGGCAATAGCTTTTCTGAAAGACAGGAAAAAGAACAGCTGTAAGAACATTTTGTTTAAAGAAGTCAATAGAATTATGTATCTCCCCAGGAAAAGTTATGCTAGAAGCAGAAAAATATTACAAGTTTGTATCTATGATTGATTCAACAGCAATCCCTGTATATATTGAAAAGAAATAATGATGAAATGCCTACAAACAACAGAGTAGGAAAGACTTACCCAGCTCAACAGTAGCCACTGAATCTCACTTTTTACCTGTCCTGTGTAGTAGTGAGAAACAGTCCATATTGCATGCCCTCTTTAAAGTGATGCCACACAATACAAAAGGCATTTTCATTGCAGAAGCTCACCACATGGACTGGGAAATTTATACCCTGCCATTGCAAATGCTAACCATGAAGAAAGTCTGGGGATGGCTTAGTTAAAACCCAAAGCAACATTATGGCAATGCTGCAATGTAGAATAGCTCTCCATGTCTCCTTGCAAAGGAAGCGGAAGTCAATCCAGCTGCAGACCATCGTTTTCCTCAAGAAAATGGGAAGCAAGCCAGAAAACCAAAAGGCCCAATGACACAACCATGTAAAAATCCTGAGAAAAAAATAACAGAAGTATGGGTTTCATAGTACTTTCTCAAGAAAAATATACTGGCCAGAATCCTGTTTAGTTATATGATTTCACAGCAATGACTGTGTAAGATTTTCCGCTCCTTCGGCAGGCTCTTTGCCACATGCATTTTGATTGTGAAATCGGGCATACAACCGGTTGCATTCAAATGCGTAAAAAGGAGCCAAAAGGAAAGCGAAGAACTCTGCAGTTTTTCATGACTTTGGCCTTTCAATCTGTTTGCATGTTAAGTGGGAACATACATCAGAAGTCCGAAGCACCTGCTCAAGATTGCACGTGGTTTTACCCTGTCCTAGCCATTCTCAACCCTTTTTGGCAACAACTGTAAACACAATATGAAAAAGATAAAGGTCGAATCAGGATTATATAAATCATATAATGATGTTGGTGTGTGAAGAACTGTTTCCAGTCTGTGATCCCCTTCAGAAGTGCTAGGGCTCCCAGAAGGCCATATAACCCCTAAGGAGAATGGTTGCCTAGACCAGTGGTCCTCAACCTTGGGCTTCCAGATGTTCCTGGACTTCAACTCCAAGAAATCCTGGCCAGCAGAGGTGGTGGTGAAGGCTTCTGGGAGTTGTAATCCAAGAACATCTGGAGGCCCAAGGTTGGGGACCACTGGCCTAGACCATTCAGGATAACCCCCCTGAAAATTATCCCTCCCCAATAATTAAAAAAGAATTGAAATGTATTTTAAAACCTAATACATTCTTATTACATCTCTAAGGAGGTCAGGACAGTAAATGTTTTGACTTTCAAAGGTAGTAGACACTAAGCATGCATGAGGGGCCTGGATTGCCTGTGTATAAATTCTGCATATGTGTAAGGATTTGATCTACTGTGCATCCAACATGCTGGCACCACTGAATCGACATTGAACGTACTATTGCCTGATTCTTCTAGAATGTGTTGCATTAGTCTGTGCAAGCATTATAAGTAAAAGCAAAGTAGAAATAAGTAAAACAAGTTTAAAAAGACGAAAATGTGGTGGCACCTTAAAGACTTAACTTTTATATTTATTTAATATTAGCTTTCATGGACTGACAAAGTGGACTTGTCACCATGTTGTTTTGTTTTGTTTTTACTTTTTTGGCTTTTTTCTGTTACTAAAAAGACGAAAATGTGGTGGCACCTTAATGACTTAACTTTTATATTTACAGTATTTAATATGAGCTTTCATGGACTGACAAAGTAGACTTGTCACCACGTTGTTTTGTTTTGTTTTTACTTTTTTTTTTGCTTTTTTCTGTTATTCTTAAGAGTCCTCCCTTATAGCAACTGTATGTGGGGGAGAAGGGGAGAGCAATTAGTTAATGTGTGTTATGCAATATTCAGTCCATACATAGTCATCTTGGTAACACATCTTGAGCCACCAACTGTCCAAAGTTGCTGTTTATTTAGCATACAGACTTGTTGGTAAAATGCAGATTCTACAGGATCCACACACAGGCATTTATATATCGTTAATGACAGCCAACTGATTACAACAGGTGCCTTTTCCCCCCCATGTCACCCTCTACATCCTGTATAGTTGGAGCAAAGCACCTGTTTGGGGGATTTCAATTGAGTGCTGCTGCTGGCTGAAGTACCTGTAGTAGCCCTGAAGCCCATAGGCCGCTCTGCTGTGCACAAACTCTGCAGGTAGGAGGTGTGAGGACCTGCGGCACAGGTAGTGAGGCATTGGCGGGAGAGTCCGTGGGTCAGCAAGATGCTGCACAGAGAGACTGGAACACAATGCATGTTCAGTTGGCAGATCCTTCCCCTCCTGCTCTGCTGTCAGATTAGTTCCTTCTGGGCCACAGGAGCCTGTTTCCTCACTCCAGTCACTTTCCACTTGCCCCTCCTTAGAGGAGTCCGAGCCAGAGCTTTCAGTGAGACTTAACTGCCTCCTTTCTTCTTCCTCATACACCTGAATGAGGCTGGCAAGCAGCAAGGAAGGTCTGATGAGGTGAGTGTCTATGGTGCGGACTCGGCCACCACGCTTCTTCTGGACAGAAAATCTAGGACTCAGGTGAGGGGTGGTGGTGCTGGATCGCCGCCGGGAACTTAAGTGACTCTTGTGTCGGGAACCCAAGCAGGAGAGCCCCTGCAAGTGAATACCAGATCTGCGCCGGTGCTTCACCAGGGTGGCTGAGGGCTGGCCCACCACAGAGCGCCGCCTTGCTTTGCTGGCCGGCAAGGCCACCACACTGGTGCGCCGTGCCCCTAGTGACACATTCTTCTTCTTGAAGTGTCTTTTGAAAAAAGATTCCATAGCAATTGGGGGCTGTTAACAAAGAAACCAAATATTTTACATGAGGAGCTCACTTTGCTCACATCTAACTACCTCAGTCAATCTCTTAACACAGGAATTATGGGACACCTCGGGATCCTAAGTAGCATGGAGCTCACTCCGCTCTAATCATCAGCCAAGCCCTTTAGGCCATAATCAGTCCTGTGTCAATTTTCAAACAGCAAGACCTTTAACTCTGTGAAGTCAGGGCTCCCAAAGGATCTGATCACTTCTACAGCACTGAAGAGAAAGGAGGGGTTTCATTTACAGAAAAATATAGTAACTTCAATTGAAAGAGCTATGAGATGGAAAGCTTGGACTGCCATTGTACTTGATGCCTATTCAAAGTTACTTATTGGGAGCAGAACCAGTGGTTTATAACTTTTACCTTCTCAGATGTTAGTGGACTACAACTCCTAAAAACTCTGGCCACTGGCTAATCTGATTGAGGCTTTTGGGAACTGAGTCCAATACCTTCTGAGCACCCAATCCTGGGAACCAGTTGTAGATAAAATGCAAGAAATATCTGCAAATCCACTAAAAATACTGAAATTGCATGGACATGTGGATCTTAACAGTTTTCAGATGGGTTCTTCAGGTGAACTCTGAACTGAATGGTTGAAAGGCTTGTCAGTTGTTCAATAGTCTGCATTAACACATAACTGGCATTGAATGTTTGCACGTGCTATATCACATTACAAGCAGAAGAAAAGAAATTCAAGGAAAGAAGGTAGCAATTTGCTTCATTGAAATGCGAAAGGAAAAATTACGACGACTACATCCCTGCTCCTTTTTAAAGACCATTTGGCCCTGTGTATGTAAACTTAGTTTAGTTTCTATGCTGTCTGCATTAGACAAGTACAAGAAAGATCAATATGTTTCCTGTTTGATCAGTTTGCATAGTCATGCTAGCACTTGGTCTAACAAAAAGCATTCCAAGACAGAAGACAACCGAGATAACCTGACCAGATGACCAGATAAGAATAATCTGACAGGCATGAGAAGCAACAGAATTGGAACAGCAAGAATTCGAAAGAATTCCAAAGTTTCCAAACCCTACTGCAGTGCTTAACAATGCCAATCTGCGTTTTCATATTCCTAGCTTCTGCAACTAAAGCCAATATACAGCAATGATTTTTTTAAAAATAAACCCCACACATCTGTATCCCTGAGTTTTGATAAGACTCTCTGAGTTTTGCCCTCTCTTTGCATATAAGATAAAAGTATGTAGGGAGATGGCAGCAATCAGGTAATCCTAATACACCTGGCACCTTTTGCCAGGAGGCCACTGCATCCATTTTCAGAAGAGTATTACCATGGGATAGACAAAACACAAGACAATTACCCACCACTTAAATTCCTCCCAAGCTATTTTTTTTTCAAGTGTAACCACTATTACACAGCAGTGAATATTTTCTATACAATTATACAGGATTCAAACTATACAACCTGAATAATTCAAATCTTCAATATTTTCTATCAATTGTTCCTCGTACCTGACACAGAAGTTTGGGGAAGAAGCAGCTGAAAGATTTTCCTTTCTGCTTCCTGATAGCAAAAAGCAGATTATTTATTATTCTATTAGAATCTATAAAATAAAAAGAGTATAAACAGATCCTTCTTGCTACCTTCTTTCTGTAAAAGTGATAGCTAAAGATAATTTCTCTCTTGGGTAGAAAAACTCTGTATATGCTTAAATGCACTTCTAAGTGCCAGAATTTCTTTGTTCCAAGAAGTAGAAACCACAAGTGCAAACACGGTGCAAACAGCCACAATTTCATACAATAGAGCTCCCGACAGCCTACACAGATTTGGGTCAATGGGGGGCTTACTGTTAAGTGCCACTTCTTAGGAAAGTTACTGAATCTTCTCTTTCCTTTAAAGAGTTTAACTAAATAGAAAACATGAAATAAATGTTTCTTTTTCTGCACTGAGCAAAACCTGCAACACTCTTCTCTCCAGAAGCATAGCTTTGTATTTTTCAGCAAAAACCAATCGGGACTGTTAACAGCATCTTAAATGTACTTTTTGCTCAAAATCCTCTTGAGGATAGCATAACCTTTGGAGGCAGAGCACTGCTGATATTATCAGTTGCACTTTGAGGCACGCAGCTCAGAATGCAA